TGTTTCTTGGAGGGCGTAGACGCGTCAGTCCCTGGTGATGAATCTGGACACGGTGAATAGTGATGGTTGTGTGAGCCGTAATCGACGCATCGTACATATAATGTGCGTTGCGGTATGGAGATTCTGCAGCGCTTGACATGGCTGAGGAATCGATGACCAGTCGTGTCGTGTCTACAAGGTGAGCGTTGGGGAGTGTCGCGACGTTGGTATGTGGTCACAGAAAGTCCCGCTTTTACACATGCAGTGAACCAATCATTTGGCGCTCCCAAGGCTTGGAGAAGTTGTCGGTGACTGAACTACAGTCTGCGGCAAAGTGCTACGCTACTACGCACTGATGTGCTGCAGTAAATTTAGTCCACAGCGCGATAGCTAGGTACTGATCTTGTCAAATGCTTTTCGCCTCGCACTCTAGGTCGGGAGGAGTACGGTTGACCGCGAGCAACCCGCTCGAACAAGGTATTCAGAGTCGAGCATGTGGGAACCTAGAGTTGGCTTGGACACGTCCGGTCTGTTTCGATTTACCCACAGTGGCTGCCTGTTATCCAGCCGGCAGAGGAAAGGCGTGTCCAGCCACGGGATCGGCCGCTTTCCTAAAGTTAATTGGTAGAAACTATGTATGAAATTAACCCTAGAAGACAGGCTTCTAGTTGGCTACAGACCTAGTGACTCTGTTGGAGCATTCGCTCAGAGCACCAGAAGGGGATGGACCAAATATCAAATGGGTTCCGAGCGCCAATTCCTAGCATTCTGGAAGACGTCTACGGAACCTTTACCGAGAAGTGCTGGCCAATGACGAGGCGACGTTAGTCCTTTAGTGGGGTCCCTTGCAACCAGGCCATGCCGGTTTGGCCGGCTGTTGATGCTTTCCAAGCAACACGAGATGAATTTACCAGCGTGTTCCAGGTACTAGTAGCCCCTCTCTCACGATATTTGGCTCGGTCCCCTAAAGTATTCCGGTTGGCATCGGCGAGCCCGTGAAGGCGCCGCTGGAGAAGTTGCCGAGTTGCTGGGTCCATGTGTCTGTGCGTTCCACTTTCGACCTCGATGGGCTGAGACTCGAGCCCCGCATTTGACTTCAAGTCTACCTCTCCTTTTCAATCTCCGTGAGCCATGAGAATGAAACCCTCGAGAAATGTACATTTCCGTCCTTTCACAGCTGCGGAGAGACGCCCCAATCGCACATGAAATCCGCCCATCCTCGTTTTGTAATCCGCACATCGTTTTTAAAAGCTTAAAGGGGGGGTAACCCATGAGGCCTCATACAGAACTCTGGGCCGACAACAGTTTGGCGCCTTCACCTTGTCAGAGGCGCGACCTGACAAACCCTCACTCTCCAAGACACTAGCCTACCCGGCCAAGACCGGGATTAGCAATCCCGTTGCAGAGAGGCCTTCTCCAGCACAGCGACGTGATGAATATTGACAACGACTCTTTACTGAACTTGGCCTAACCCACGGAGCACTTATTCTGTTATTTTATATCATTCACGAGCATGTAGAGTATCACAAATAACTGTGCTTCCGTACGCTCAATATTATTAATACACTTCGACCACCTTCGTTCGCCATGCATACTCATAAATTGACCTACTAGCAGGAGACTCATAGACCAGGCTTTCACAATGCTGAAATAGACACATGATAAATGGTTGATAATCCCCAGGCAGTGCTTTGGCCGCTTGTGACTCGTGAAAAAGGACGGCATTATGAGCAGGCTGTGAAAGTCCCGGCAGGCTTGGCGTATTCAAAAGTCGGCTGGCGTCATCTCGACCTAAAAGTTACCGAACACTGACTCATCACCAGCAGAACAGCCGGTCGTCTGGCGAGATAACTCATCAGACACGGCTAATACCCTCTTTCTGCCCCATTCTGGCAAAGGTATTCAACTTTCTCACAGATTCTTCGCAGCTTATTATGGCCTCATCATCCTTGGGCTCTTTCGGAACCACCAAAGCTAGCGAGGTGACAATGGCGTGTCCTGCAACTTACCAAAGATGGAATCGGGGAATTCGGGCAGTATCGTCGTCATGACGAGGCTGGCGCCTCTCATAAATGTCATGTCCTCCGCCATGCCGTCCCTGGGCATCAGAGACGATTGTGACATGAGGCAGTATGTTGCACAAATAAGGAGTCCGCATCGACTGCCGTCCTTGGTCCCGCGTGAAGCGCGCTCGCCAGCAGCCTTATAGCATTAAGCCTGTGGCAGAGGGCTTGAATCGTGTAATCGCCCGCTCCGTGCTGCGAGAGGTGAGAGGCACCAAGTGCCAGCAAAGCGTGTCCTAGATGCTCGTACTAGGAAAATCCCAAGGTGCAGGGCTAGCGCCAACTCGTTGCCGAGTTGGGGGGGGAGGGATGTAATTTGGTTTTTTTTAATAAAAGACATACACGGTGCGCTGTGGCTGCGACTTGCCACCAAACCTGATCCCCGCCGAATGGAAGACTTGGGAGCGCTGCAGTCCGCACATGATGATAGAACCTAAAGTCTTCCTGCAAGGTCAGTTAGGAGCGCCTCGAAGGGCTGCGACAGATTTGGTGAGTGGACATGGATGCACCGCAGCCCCGGACGGTAGCAGTGCGAACAGCTCGGGCGCAGCTCGTTGCATTTGATCTTTCTCTGGTTGCAGCTGTGACAGCCGAGGCGAGACTTGCAGTGGCCCCGCCGTCTTCGTTTGTGTTGCTTTGGCGAAATGATGTGAGGACCCATGGGTAGGTGCCGTGGGCGAGGGACGTCCTCGGTCAACAAACAGGGGATCTAGCAATCCTGCCATATTCTACTTCTCTGCCAAGCGTAAAGGAATTCAGACGTGTCTTTGCGCTCCCTTTAAGTCTTTTGCATTATTAAGCTGGTGAATGGTAATCGTGTTTCGTCAGATGAACATGGCCATGTTCCAACCAGAGTCAATTTGTAGCCGGATGACTTTCTGCTACCCAATCGGAACTCTGGGCTTGTGAGAATAAAGATCAAAGAATTTCTGGAAGAACCCCTACTTGAGTGTGACCGCGGCCGAGGCCGTTCCCAACCATGCAACCCCTTCTAAACAACAAATCGAAGCCCGGGACAATGGGTACGCAAGGTGGCGGACTTGAGTCGTACAAAGGCTTGACTACTAGCAGCATACTTGGCGACGAGCAACTTACGCACCACTACGACATACAATAGTCATTAGGAAGCAAATAAATGTGTGGACTACTTTGAATGGCCAAATGTCTGTTTAGGTTCAAATGGGCTATGCTAATGCGGTTTCTACATATGTCTTTGCCGAGGAGCGTTGGCCGATACCCGCGCTACTGCCGACCGATGTGGATAGCCGCAAGGCAAAGCGCCGGACCGGGGGAAGACCCCGGGTCCACTTTAGCGGGGCCGCCCGGCTTTTGGCAAAATGGGTCCGGTCCAAGGTACGGCTTGTTGCACCTCGGTCAACTAACTTTGGGCGAGCCCATTCCTATCAATACCAATTCAAACGTGAACGAAGCCTCGTCTCTGACACGCTGCAAGCATGAGCGCCAGGACCACAAGCACACACCTGTAAGCTGGAGATTGGGTTATTCGGCCATGGTTCGCTATTGCTGCCTCTTCTTGGTCCATGACTCAACGGTCAATCTCGATAATCGTCGTGATACAGCCATAAGAATCCATTATGCACCCGTAGACTCAAGCAGATCCTGTCCAGTTAAAGCGAGGATGTTTGGGCGATGATGGCTGTTATAAAGGCAAGAACTCTCTGTTCAAGCAAGGGGGGATACCAAAGAACTATCCCAGGTTATACACGCAAGTGAAGCTTTTTTCCCCCTGAACAATTGGATATTCACCTCGCCCCCGGGAAGCCCTTATTCCGTCCGCGGCGCCATCTCACCCCAACACAGTAACACGACGGCCACTGTTTCTCAGTCAAATAATAGACTTGTTATTTTTACTAGTTACCTGCCGGAATGAGATTTTTCGGGCTGACATGGTCCCAGTCAGGGCTCACAGCCCAACAAAAACTACATTGGAATTTCCTGCCAGCCCAATCACTTTTTGTACCGTGTGATAAAGATGGCTTGCTCGCAGTCCCACCCCCCGACTCGGCGCGAGCTTCGAAATATTCATCGCGCTTGGCAAATGTCGGTGTGACAAGGGCTTGATAACAAGGGCTCGGAGTGTAATGACTCTATTCCGAGCTCATCTTATAGGATGTCAAAGGTCCTTGATTTCCAAGAGAAATGCAGGGACTAGTGACCCTTGGATATCCAGGAAAGTAACAGCTGTGCCCAAGGCTCCCAGCGGGTCATGTGTTCAGCCTGTGCAACCTTGTAGGTCCTATATCGGCAATGCCCCTTTGTTGGGCGTTGTTGTTGTTGAGCTTTGACCGTGTGACAGCCAGGCTGGTGAATATCGTGCTGACCCTCTCGTAAGCGTCCGAGAATGTAGTCAGAGTCACGGCAGGACTGAATGGGCCTCGCTCGTCGATGACATCGCGCACGGGCTAGGCTGCCGCAGCACAGGCGAGAGCCATGTTTTGTTAATGGAACTGCTGCAACCGCGACGATAACGGGCTACAAGGGAATTTCAATCACCATTTATACACCCAGCAAGTCTCGTTGGCCCCCTGACACAGCATCATGGACCTACTCATGTTGCTCGATTGTATCTCCTGGCGTGAATGTTGATCACCTTGCACGGATGCATATAAACATGACACGATGCTGTGGGCCGGCTTTGGCGAACCAGGCATAAAATTGAAAAAGGTTTTTTGGAAAAGTGAATAGACTTGGCCTATTAAATCGGCAGATTATTCAAATTTAGTCAATATCAATCTCCTCCGTCGATCGTTGCTCAGCTTAACTCTTGCTGTCCTACGAGGGTGTCTAATTAGAGCGTGTTCCTTTTGTAACGCTCTGGACCGTGTGTTGTGCCTCCCTCTCTCCGTCAATGGCAGACCCATCTCTCCTCACACTTGCATATCAAACTATTCCGTCTGGTGTCGACAAAAATAACCACCCGCGCTTGGTCGACGCCGCCTATTTCTTGTTGGTGAGTGAATGCTCGTCGAGTCGCTTGTCAACGGCGCCCAAAACAACCTTCAAGATGGCGTCACCTGTGAGCTTCTTGGCATAGTGTCTTTCTGCATCCTCCCACTGACATGACACCGTGTCGACTATATCCCGAACGCCGTGGCGGCTCAAGCCATCGTCTAGTTGCTGTAGCGCACTGGTGGCGTAGCCATCTGAGCCAATCTGGAAAAACTGAATGCCGACTTGATAGGATGGCGCGGCATATTGGTCGAGCGTTCTGGCAATCTGCAGGATTGCCTGCTCAGGGTTGTCGGAGGGTGCGCCGTCAGTGATGACGATCAGGTTGATGGGCTTGACGTCATCAACGTCGTCGGCTGATTGAAACTTTCTCAGGTAAGGGAGGAGGATTTGTTCCAATCTTCTTCCCGTATAGGTAGCACCGGAAGGGTGGACATGGCTAAATATCCTCTCAATCGTGTCCTTTCGGGTCACGTTATAGTAACCGCCCTTGGCCTTGGACTTGTCCCCTTGTAGCTCTCTAGACATGTGGTTCAAAAAGTACATGTCGATGCCGTCCTCGTCGTAAGTCGTGACAATCTCGGCGATGGATATCAGGGCGTCTTTCGCCTCGCTCCAGAGGTTGCCAGCCATGGAACCAGAATCATCTATGAGCAGGATGGTGTCGAAATTTGCCAGGTTGGCGTATCTGTCGCCATCGGAGACGCCTCCGTAGACTCCCGCGGGTGCTGGTGAAGGTACGGGCGCGGCCGAGGGTGGGTATAGAGATACGGGCCCGGGTGCAGGTTGGTACACAGGTGTGTAGGCAGGCGGGGCGTCGCTGAAGCTGGTTGAGCCGACTGCTTGCTGTTAGTCGGCGTGCTTTAATTTTCCATCGGAGGACTTGTCTTACTGTAAGATGCGGGACCAGCGGTGCTCGACGAAAGTCCACGAGAGCTCTCGGACTTCTTGGACTTGGATGAGGACTGGGATGGAGACCGCAACAGCTTGTCCTTGAAGCTCGAAAGGCGATGCATGTTGATAGCTCTTTCCACGTCTGGTGGTCAGGTGAGGTGTCGGTTGGGCTTGGCGCGGTGGCAAAGGCAGGTGCGATGATGAATGGAGTGAGAGGATCGGGGTCAACTGTGCTTGACGATCTCTTTGTCGCTGCCTATATTTTCCTCCCTGGCTGGCTGCGTCTCAATCTTATATATCCATTGTCTCTTTTTGAACACCCGGCACACAAACACCGGAGTTTGTACGCTTTGGCTTGTGTTGGCGCCCGAGCCGGCTCCACCAGGCGCGGATCCGGATTCAGCCTGGCACCTCTGAGCCACCGTTGGTCAGCCCGCAGAACAAAGAGTCTGGTCTTCACAGAGTGTGTGGCGTGTGGCGTGCGCGAGGCCGTTTCCACGGCTTCCCTGGCCCTGCGCCTTTGCCGTGGTTCAGTTGGCATGGCACCACGTGGCCAACCAGAGCAAAAGAAATCCATGGCAGTGCCGTTTTGCCATTGCCCCCTTGTTTCCCCCGCCATGCACAGCCGTGCGCTGGCCATGGCGAGTTCTGGAAACTGGAAATGGACTCGATCCGGTGTCAGAATGGGTCACTTGTTACGGGTACAAATTACGTACGCTTAATTAAATAAGGGTAAACCCTTAACTACAAGTGAATAACCCTAATAATAAGCGCACTTATAAAAAGAGCGTATATAATTCTCTTTTATAATTAAATATAAACTTATATATATATATTATTATTATAATTAATACTCTTTAAAGTATAATAATTATAAGCTTAAGAGAACTTTAAATTTCTTATAACTTTTACTTAAGAAAATTAAGTATTTAAGGTATTATTTTAATACTTATTTTATTATATTTATATATTTAATAAATACTAATATTACTTTTATAAACACTTAATTATTTATTAAGCTTAAGTTAAAGCTTTTAAGTTAATAGTATAATTAATATAAAGTATTAAAGAGTTAAGCTTAAGCTAATAAGCTTTAAAATATTATAAACCTTAATTAATTAAATTAC